GGATCTCATCCAGCTGCTTCAGCAACGTAACTGAGCAGCTTATTCCAGACTCCCACAATATTTTGTGTAAAGAAGTGTTATGTTTGTGGAGATTAATTTATTGGAGAACTGGGCAGCTGTAAGAGATTAAAGAAACAAGGATAGGTAGAGAGGATGGACTAGAACAAGTGTACATTGAAAAACTCTTTATTCGGTTAATCTTCACACTCTGCCTTTTGTAACTATTTCAGTTGGTGCCTGAGTTGGCTTCAAGCACAGAGTGTCATTTTTCACCTTCAGAAACTTAAGGTGATTTTCTGCAACCGCTGGTCAAATGTCTTTAAATACTTGCAGTTTATGAAAGGATTTTTAAGCTTTGAAGAAACAAGCTCTCTGCATGGTGGTTGTCAATATTCTTTCATTTGTGCCCTTTTCAAAACTTGTCACTTGATTCGTGTAAATTTAAACAATTTTCCCTTTCATTGCAAGTATTTGATGTACTTTTTATGTGACTTTTTTATCAAGGACACACTCAACAAAAAGCTGATCTGGCACTGCTTGGGCTATACGTGAATGTAGTGCATTTCATTTAGTCATCCTTTACTTCTGATGCAGATCAAGCTATTCACAGTCGAATTCACCACTTTAAGTTTTACCAAATCCATCCATTCATTTTCTAACTATTTCTTTCAATTCAGACCCAGAGCCCAACCTGACAAGCAACGGGCTGAAGGCTGGATATGTCCTAAACAAGACACCAGTCTGTCGCAGGGCACATACAGGTACAAACATGTACACACTCACACCAGGGCTTGTTTCGCAGAAGCCAGTTAACCTACCAGTTTGTTTTTGGACTTTGAAGAGAAACCAGAGCAGCCAGAGTAAACCCACGTGAACAAGGGGAGGACATACTGTACAGTACAAACTCCATGCAGATGGCCAGATCCAGAATTGAACCTGGGGGCCCCAGTGCTGTGAGGCAGCAGGTCGAACCATTGTGTGGCCAGTGGGCAGAAACAGCGGGACAGCAACACAAAACTACCACATTGCCGTTTCAACTGATTAAAAACCTGCAACTTTTTGAGTTTCCACCAGAGTGATGGAGAAGGAGATCTGGGGAGTGAAGAGCTCTGACGTCCTGCAATTGTGCACAAAAATTCACTCTTATTTTGTCCCTGTATGAAAATATGACTTTTTTCATGTGTCAGCAAGGCATGTGGAAATCCTCTTGTGTCTTTCACAGGTACAAAAACTGAAGTAGCTTCTATGCACAACCTTCCCCACACACTACAGAGAAAGTGTGGAAATGTGCAATGTGCATTTAACCAAGAACAGGAGGCACATATTTACACAAAGGACTGTGGGGTTATGGAACAAGCTTCCCAGTCACATTGCTGAAGCTGATATCCTGGTTTCTTTCTGGACACTGCAAGATGACTGTTGCTCTTGGATCAATTAGCTTCCAACTATAAAACTTTCCAGCTGGTCTGAATGGCCTCGACTTTGTAACCTTTTATATGTTCTTATATTTTAAAACTGGCTGCTCCCATCAAGTCCCATTCTAGGAGTTGGTAACATGGTAATGTACACTTGTTCTAGTCCATTTTTAGTTCTAGTCCTGTGCCCATCCTCCATGTTATCATTCTTTGCAGTAGGAATTTTCCTTTGAGAAACTCAGCCTTGGTGGACAGATCATACAAAGACATGGAGTCCCTTTTATATCATTGGGATGGATGCGATGTCCCTTCAATACATGCAGGTTATCTGTGTTGAGCTTTAGAGGATGTTGAAAACGCACCTGTCTGTGCAGATTTATTAAAAATAGAATATTACAATTCCTCACACATGGTGTTGGTTTATAAAGAGCCTACAGCTTGCTTACACATAATGTTTGCAGATAAATCATAACGTTCTCTTAAATGCAACAGAAAACACACCTGATTTTCTAACCCACTTCCTGTGAGTTCTGATGTTGAGCAAGAATTGAAAGACTAGGTTCAGGGTTAGCAGAAAGGGCCTGTTTTTGTAATTGGCATCGGAACCCACAGGAGATATACCATACAAGTTTTCTTCCTCTAGTATTCAGTTTGAATTTGGATTGTGACCCTTCTATAAGTTACTGTTTCTTTTTTCTCTTGTAACTGCTAGGATATTTTATGGTGGTCACATACGATGAGGGTTAGTTATTATACAGCTACATTTCTTGTGGGGCTTTTTTCAAGTCTCAGGAGCCACTTGGAAAGCACTTCACTCAAAAATGTTTGAGATGGTGGCGAGACAATGGAGACATAGGACTGAAAGGTCGATCTGACAGCCCTAAGCTGGTCAAGGATTCTGTCAGTGTGTTTGACTGTGGGAATTTGTGGAGCACCTGATGGAATCCATTTCCACTGACCAGCAGAAAATATTCTTGGGGCCCTTCAGGTCTATGTCTCCATTGTCTCCTACTAGTCCGCTTCTGACGGTTTTGTCACCATATTCAGGTCTACATATTTGTGTTGAATGGGGGTCAAATTTTTTTTAGTTGGTGTAAAAGGGATAGTTTGTTTCTTCTTTTTTTCCTTGTAGTGACGTGTCAGTAAAATGTTTCAGAATACAGTTTTCAGGGCTACATGCAAGGTGAAGTACACAGAGAGACCATGAGAAGTTTTCAGACATTGTATTGAGTTGGGAAAATAACACTGTAAGCCAAAATAATGACAGCAAATCTCACAGCATATAGATAACTGGTCTTATGGAACAACATAGGAACTGGTGTAAAATTATTCAGATGGTGTAAAGTGTTTCTCTAATCCATTTAGGAGATTGCTTTTCAGAATCAGTGTTCAGACACCTTGCAGCATAATCTCAAAATGCCCTTGTAGTAGTAGATAGAGTAAAAAAATTAATTGTTTTGATTCATATCTTTTTCATAACAGCATTTCAAACAACCTCCCCCACAACTTGAAAGATATCAAGACATTTCTTCCTGAACAACAGCAGATGATGTAGGATATAAATTGCAAGGTTAGCGTTTTGCGTGGGAAATTGGCCAAGCAAGTTTTTCTGTCTTCACAAGAGATGATTTATTTCAAGTAAGAAAAGCCCTGTTTGTGTAAATCCTGGCAAGATGTGTGTATCTGATTGACAAGCAGCATCACGTTGCATTGCTTGGTTGGTCCTTTTCAGACTCCTTGACTACTGAACATCTTGGTATCCTCAGGGAGTAAAAACACATCCCATCATTTTATCAAAAGGTGCTATCCTCAGCCCAGGACATCCCCCTTTTTCTAGGACAAGAGAACAACAGGACAGGTGGGCTGGGGGCATGTGCTGCTTTTTGATTCCAGCAAAAGCACTTAAAGAGCAATTTGGTCCATTGAGTTAGTAGTTAACCAAAGCCTACATTTACAGATCGCAGACTGGTCAAGGAGCTGGTTTTACTGGCTGCAGTTCTCTATAATTTGGTTGTGCCTAGAATTGCAGCAGATGGATCACTTTTTCTCTCTTGTTGGTGTGAAGAGTGAATGCAGAATATTCATACCAAAAGAATATTTTAAAAAGTGCAGCCATCTTTTTCGGAATGGAATCTAAAAGCTGTTTGATATTATTATATTTACTTTTAAGAGATGAAAAAGGTGCACTGTATCATTCTTTATTTTAAGATGTAACTGTACTACACTGACATACTACTGCAGTTTCAGAGAGGAGGAAGGCACACAGTCACCAATAGGATATTTGTAAATGTTTATTTTCATTATTTTATTTTTTAAGTTATTTCTAAAAAAGGCAGCTCCGAATGTTTGCATCTGGCTTTTTTAATGAGAAATTAACCAATTCTTTTTATTTTTATTCCTACCCTGTTTGAAAACAACCATGATACAGTATACAGTATGGCTCAACTTTTCAAACCCCTACAAACCCTTGATCACTCAGGAAAGAATGAAACAGGTAGACATGGTCCTCTGACACATCCAGCTACAGAGTCATTTTATTTTTGGCATATATGAGGCTCCATGCTGCCTGACAGGAGAGTTGGTTCTGATTGAAGGAGCAGCAGGACTTCCACTGACATTACTGCAAGCCTGCAGGCAGCAAGAAAGTCACATGAGTTGCTTCTGAGTTCTCTGAAGAAAGAGACCATCTAATCCAGGCCTTATGCTGGAGCTTCCCTTGTGACACTGCACCATCACTGGGGGATTCTATCAAATCTTGGCTATGGACATGACACAGACTCAGATCAGTGATATTAGTCTTCTTTGTGCCTGTGCAGTTTCTGAAGTTTGGATTTCCTCATACTGTATTATACCATCCGGTGTGCATGGATTTTAATGTGCTGGACTACTGCTTTTGTCAATAACTTCTAAGGTGTCTGCCTAATAAGTGCCTCCAAAGTCCAGGAAATGTGAGATGTTGGGATCTTGAGTGCCGAAGCATATGGGGAATTCTGCACCAGATCACCACCTCATTTTATGGTGCTGTTACAGTATATGGTTCATTGATGTCCAATTTTGATGTTTTGATTAAATAAGTAATTAAAGTTTCTTTTCCAGGTTTGGTCATTGGTGTGCCTGCATACAGTATATTTTCTGAAACCTTATTTTTCATATTTAAAAAGTAGAATGTTAAATTGCACTTTGGTCACAGGGCATGATGAATCTTGTTAGCAGTGTGACTTCCTTCTCTTTTCCTTTTACCAAACGGTCAGCTGCGCCTTTCCACCCTGTGTCGAGGAGCAAGCATGAAGAGAACCCAAAGCCGTGTCATGGCAGGGAGAGGGGTGAATGTTCGTCTTTTCTAATTGCACGGCAAGGAAACACCTATCCACATGTGCTTGGAGGGGAGCAATTTTCAGGGCTGTGTGCTCCAAAGTAATCACAGGAGGGGTACTGACCTTTGGCCTTTAACCTTTCACCTTTGACCCTTTCACTCCCCTCCTCTCTCCAGAAACACGTGTGCACTTTACCTGGTTTTCTCTTTGTGACCTTCTTGTTTTTTTTCTTTCTTTTCCCCCCTTTTCTTTTCTTTCTCTGCTTTCACAGCAAAACAATTCAGGTGAAAATTATTGACGACGAGGAGTATGAGAAAAACAAGAACTTCTATCTGGAGCTGGCCGAGCCCCGAATGGTGGACATGAGTTTGCAAAAAGGTGCAGTAAGGGGCTGCCCCCAGAAGGCTAACACTCTTCTTCCTCTCTCTGCTGTCTTCTACCTTTCCCCTTCTGTCTCTTGCTGCTTGACACCCAACAACACTCTTCTGCCATACTCTGTCACTTGGAGGGTTCCTCCCCTAGATGGTAATTTGGTACTGTGTGACCCAGCAGTTAGGCCTGGCAATCTGCTAGAGTGTACCAGTACAGGAATAAACTAGGGTGGATGAGCAGGGATCATGGGTAGGGTCAGTGTGTTTGACGTACAATGCCCTTTTATGTTAGAAAAAATAAGATTATTTTAAGTATAATTGTTGCTCTTAGTTCTATATTAGTTATAGCAAAGGTAGTTGAATGTATTTCCTAAAAAAGTATTTTGAAATACAGTAGAAGGTAATTCAGACTTCAACCCTCTTAAAATGCTTTTAACAAGTGTCAGCAAGGCTTTTCTGTATGTGAGTCCAAAGATAGAGGTATATGCGGTTTTGACCAATTATATTTGGCATTAATTGAAACTACATTCTCCTATTGTGTAAACTAAAATGTTCAGCATTTCTGTCTACAGATCAGAAGGCTTCACATCACAGATATATTAGGAGCGATGTATAAAATGTCTCCTTAAGTCTTTTAGTGAATGATACACAACTGCATGTATTAAGCAAAACAGGTTTCAAATAGAAGATGCAATTTGTTTAAAAAGTGTAAGCAATCTTATAATTTAGTTATCTGGTTTGGCTGTATACAGGAACCGTCCGACAGCCTGAAGATGGATCAAATGTATTTGTAAAAGCTTGTGAGCAATTGGCTTAAGTGTTTAATTGCTCTGTCTTTAGAAAGAATAGATATCTTTGCATTTTTAAAGAATGATACCTAACAAAAAGGATATATCTTTCATTCACTATCTAGAATATATCCTAATTGTAGTAAAACTATAAATGTCAGACATTTCTGAATTAAATACTAATAGAAAGTTTATTATAAAATCAAATAATTTCCTGTTAAGCATTTCCAAGTTGATATGGACATGCACTGTCTGTGACAAAGCTAATATTTAAACTATTTTTTAAAATAGTTCATATTTTAAAACATTTGTCAGCAGTGTTATTTCAATTTTTATTTTTTAGATTTTCAAAAATATGTTTCTATTTAAATGGCTTCATGCCCATGACAATCATCATCCATCAAAGATTTTGTTTTAATTAGCTAGGATTTATGGGTTGTCATTAAATGAAATAATTAAATTGTTAAGATATGTTGTTAAACCTTTAGTGATTGTTATCAGTCTTCATTATTTCAAGGATGAGGCAACACCAATCCAGCTTAAACAAAGTAATACTGTATTAAAATTATACCCCATTATTAAATGTCATGCAGTATATTATTTACTGTTGCAATACTAGTATTCTGTGAGCTCTGTTCCATTTTGGTACAAAAACGCAGTTAGTTACTATTACATGCAGAAACCACTATTAAAAAATACTGTAACATGTTGCAGAAATGGTAGGAGAGAATATGTAAAGCCTTTAGTTGGCATTGAGTCTAAAGCAGTTTTAATCCTCTGCACAGATGAGAATAAAGCCTTACTATAGAGAAGTAGAGAAGACATTGGAAGAGTTATTTAATCTCAAGCAAGTACAAGTACAATATATGTACTGTTTTTTATTTAACAGAGGACTTTGTACTATGAGCAGCAACTAATGAATGTTTTCAAACAAGAGGAGGATATTCTGTCTTTCTAGCTCATTAGGTTTGCTAGTAGCTCATTAATCCAAGGATCTCCTCCAGTCATTTTTTGAAAACAAAAGACAGGATACTGTCCTTGACATCTTGTTCCAGACTTCCACAAAGTCAAGAACAAGTTCAGTTACATAACATAATCCCAGTTTATGCAATGAAAAATAAGGATTTCACAGGTGACTGTTTCTAAATCACACAGTAGAGTAACCAGAGTGATCAAATGAAGATAGGAGATACTTTGTGACCTACTGATATAAGAAGTGTAGGGGATAGAATAAGCAATGCTGTAGATAAAGAGCAAGATAATTATATGGATGAATATCAAATTCATCACCTGAAAAAAGGACAAATGCATAGTATGATGTTTTTCAGTAGTTTGGCCAAATTCTAATAACAAAATGGGCCAACAAATAAAGGAATAGTGTTAACTTAACACATAGGTGTTAAATTGCCTGATTGAGGAAAGTCATAGCTGTCACACCCTCCTTGCTTATGAGGAATTAACTAAGTAGGCATCTGCAAAGAGTGAAGTTGGGGTGGATGGAGGGGTGATAGAAAAGATGTGCACAGAGTTTTGAGCAGCTGATGAGTATTCATATGAAAGAGAACAGAACTGCAAGATAAGAATCTGACCTCCTTCTGAACTGGTAAATAACAGCATTTGTAGTTAACAAATCGAGCAGAGTTGTGAGAAGGAACTGTAGTTTTCTGAAAGGTTATCAGGTTAGTACTGTACTGATGTCTGTGGGTTGCAGGATTGGAATCGAAGACAAAAGAGGAAGAGGTAGTAGGTGAGCAGTGAAGAGACAAGGGTTTTGATTTAAGAGCCTCAAGTTTAGAATTATTGTTGTCCATATCTGGATACATCCCATTCGTTATTTCCATTGCTGATTGAGGTATGGATGAAACATTTGCAAATGCAGGAAATCACAATGGCTTGTTCACACTTTTCTTAAGAAAACAACCTCAGCTGTGTCGTGTTGTGTGCAATATTTCTACTAGATGAACTACAGTACACACATTTTAAATAATGGTAGGATTTTGAAAGATAGTACTTTCAACTTAGTTTCACATGTCTCACTCGCTGGAAGTCAAAGATAGTGTGTGCATGTCTAAATTTAATTCATTAGTTAATAATCAGACACATCCAGTAAATTGATTTTTACTGCCATTGTAGCTGCATGTTTGAATTTGTCCCAATCTACAGCCTTGGCTCCAACAAAAGAGAGGCAACACGTGACCCACTTGGACCTGGGATTGCTGCTAGTAAGACAAACTAAGCTTCTTGCTTCTTCTTAGATGTCTTGCTATGTCAGCCTTTTCATGATAACTTAAAAAATACCGCAGTGGATCTCAAACAATTAGCGTCACTTCCAGCAGTACTATTACCATATTCTCGTTGATCTCATCAGATCTAGAAGCTAAGCAAGGCTGGGCTGGTCAGTACTGGGATCAAAGACCTCTAAGGAAAACCAGGTAGTTGTTGTAAGTAGTGTTGGTGGACCAGTAGGGGTTGCTGTAGGAGTGTCATCCTTTAGATGAGACATTAAACTGCCATCCTTAATACTTTATGAAAGATGTTTATCCCAGTGTCCTAGCAAACCTCCACTTCGGGCTCATGGAAAGTGGCTTTTAGTTTCAGTTACTCACTTCTTACCTGATGTGCTATATAGTGGGGTAAGTGGTACATTATGGATGCTGCACTGCAGTGGATATTATATACAGTATAAAGCTCTTTGAGAACTCTTGAAAAATCCTATAGAAATACAAAGAATTCTCACCAATTTACTGTTACATGTTTGCACTAAAAACCAATTATTACATTAGTTACAGTACATGTATTATAAAAGACTATATGATGTACATTCAGACCTATTGTGATTAATATTCAAGTATACTGTATATGCTCTCCAGCTGTATTTTGTTGTTTAAGATAATTTAGGTCAGTCAAATAACGACTTTTAAAGACAAAACTACTAAGTATGTCTTAGATTTCTCTCTGTTTCCCTCAGATTTTCTATATACTGTAGTAGCTTTTCATTGAAATGTCATTTTGTGAGAAGACCTGGAAAACATTAGGCCATGACAGAGAAATCCTGTCTTAAATACTGCAGGTTCAACACTGAATGATCACAAACCCAGGAAAAACTAGGAACTAGGAAGTGCTGTAACTGCAATGCAGTGTGGCTGGAAGTTCTTAATGTGGTACACTGCACAGTAGATCTTAACGTCTTGAAACTTTCATCCTGCCTGGCGATATTATTTACCATTAGGTTAATTTAGAAAAGCTGACAGTTGATTATTACAGCTACACTTCCTAGGGCAAAGATAAAGAGGTTGTTTCTTCTGTTTACTGTAAATGTACAGTATGCATACAGACTCAATCAGTCAATGTGCTCTCATTCACAGTCTCAGTGTGAAATCTGTAATGACAAAATCAGACCATATGGACATCCAGTGTGTTCTGAAGGGGCGTTTATGAAAAGATGGAATTGACAGAGAGAAAGCTTAAAACCGTCAGGTAATTCAGATCTGTTAACATGGGAACAGTTTCTGCAGGATGACCCTCAGCGTGGCCGATTAGTAGAGTTTATTAGACCAGAAGTGCTCCCGTCTGTGCTTGGACTTTTGTAAGTGACCAGTCGGATCCAGTCAGTGATGAGGAATTAAGGAGAACTAGGCCTAGTCACAACTTGGATAGGAGACATCACAGGACTCTCAAATCTCCCCCCTACCAACAGAAATTCCAAACTAATGCCTCCCTTGTGGTAAAGAAGAACACCGGCAGCGGTGCTAATTAATTTCACCTCCTAGATCCACATGCTCCGCTTTTGCTTTTCAAATCTGCCCCTGAGACACAAGTCACATAGCTTGTGTATCTGTTTAAATAGCCTTACAAGACCAGTTTACAGACAAAGATTTAATACGAGTGTGACAGCAACTTCACCTTCCTTTGGACCATTCTAATCACCTGGCAAGGGAACTCTTCTTATGGATTCTGCATAGGGGACCACTTATCGTTACAATTGCAGCACTCCTGCAGCCATTATCCACTGCTAGTGTAATAAATCAAATATCAGCAACCTGGCATTATTTGAAATGGAGCATTTGTCACAAGGTAAGTTAGGTGGACGACAGATTCATAATGTTGCCACATATTTTTGTTAGAAATTTTTATCATGATAAAATACTATATTATTTTTTGTATGTATCTCATGTTTAAAATTAAGTGACACCAACTTTTTTCCTAACTGGCTTACAAC